CTTAGTCATTGCCCAGCTCTCTCATACACAGCAAGTAATTGTGAAGATCATGGCCTTGATCAAGTGCACCTTAGTCTCTAGACTGATGCTGCTGCTTTTCAGTACTCTAGAAAGGTCCCTGACAGCAGATTTTCCCAATGCTCCCTTAGTAAATCTAATGAATTCTAAAGGCAGATCTATTGGCCTACTGGTAAGGAGCTGTGTTGCCAACCCAAAGGTATTTGATTCAAATCCACCAGCTACTCTTCAAGAAAAAGATGTGCATCTTCTCCTGTGTAGTCTGTTCTGACAACAATGATCTGACACCTTTTCCATCTCAAAAAACACCTCTGTGAGGACAGACACCCCTCTTTTCCTTATCATACTGTCCTTTTCTACCTAGCTTCACCAATGTAAAAAAATACTCATCGAGCGCCACAAGCCCTAAAGCAGCTCTGTTTGGTAGGATGAGAGAGCCAAACAAAGTCCATTCGTCCCAGCTTCGCTGCAAGGACACAATGGAGGGTCAAGGCAGGCTTCTTAGAGAGGGGTTCACTCAACTAAGGATTCTCCATTTGCTGCAACCACAGGCAGTCCCCACTCATACCCTCCTCATGTGGTGGGCTCCCTCCATTATTCAAATGAAACTGCTCCCTAAGCAGTTACACCGAAGGCAGACCTTCCAGGACCGCAGACCTGGGAGGCTCACCTCTCCACTCTGATACGGAGGCTCTGGGGATGCCTGGCCTAGGACCTGACCTCTATGCATTGCTGGGCCATGAGATAAACAAGCCAGTAGAAACCATTAGGCATCGAGACTTAGCTGCTTTCTGCAATAAGGCTTTAAGGGCACCTTTAGTTTTCAAAGACATTGAAAGATATGAGAATATTCTCCTGAGAGTTCTGTCCACCACACTGCAGGCTGGCCCAGGGCACGCCAGGCATGGGTATCAGTGCCAGTGCCATGGTCCTTCAGTACCATCAAAGGCCCTCACAGCCCCAAAACCACATGCTGGTGTATGGGCCAGAGAGGGGATAAATCCACCTTTGACTGACCCCAGAGGAGGGAAACAGGTCAGAGGCTACGACTAGCAAGGGTCATACATGATGCTGCCCCAGAGCAGAGTGGAGGTCCCTAACTGGATGACGGACAGGCAGAGCTAGGAGTGGGGTGGAAAAGAGGCACAGCCAGAGGATTCCTCTCTTGCTCCCCCGCCGTCACTCACAGCGTGGACAGATCTGACAGAGGCTGGGAAACCTTGCCCGGGGGCCTGCGCTAGGAGCCCTTCCCCACAGCCCAGCTAGAGAGGATCTCTGTGGCACAGAGCAGGTCTCAGGGGAGGCCATGGCTGTAAGCCTAGTGTTCAAGGCCAACTTTCAGCACTGGCTCCAGTCCACAGCCAAGAACGAGTCACCTCCAGGCTTCCACCCAAAGAGAGGCACCTGTCATCCACCTGGGAAGCTGGTTAACCAACACTTTCCTCGGAGCAGGATAAGGATGGCAGACTGGGTTGCAATCCTACCAAGGGTTTCTAATACCCTTTGTATGTACATCTGCCCCGAACTGGGCGCTACCTTTGACCCAGAGAGTGAGTGAGGAGGACAGAGCACCATGTGGTTCCCAGTGCGCCCAGGTCTTTCACAGTCAAGGCGCCTGGGGGTCCCAGGGCTGGTGAGGCAGTGGAGATCCTTTCTATCAAGGACTTATTCAAGGAGCCATTACAACACTGAGGAAGGAGCATTTGTAATCATACTCATTCTACAGATGAGAAAGCCCAAGCTCAGAGAGTCACTATACCTTATGGTCAAAGGTCACACCGCTGACAGACGCTGGGCTACCAGATTCTCAGGGTCATTTTCAACTCCAGTCAATCGGCTTGGGTGGCTCTGGGACATTCCCATTCCCATGGAGAACAGGAAGTTCTATGAGCCTCCTGAACCTCATTCTCCTGAGGTTTCTCATGAACACACAGCTTCTCAGACTGTCCTTGTTTTTGTTGAACTTGATGGTTTTGAGGGGTACTGATCAGATATTTTGTAAGATGCCCTCAACTCACATAACAACAACAAGGCCTCAACTAGGATTCTTACCTCCTCACAACGAGACTAGAGTTATGGGCAAGATCACCTAAGCGCCACTTTTATCAAAGGCCACGGCTCTCTCTCCGGCAGTTAAGTCCACTGGCTGCTCCTCGGGAGAAAGCTGGACAGTCCCCTCCAGTGCAATTTACAACCTTGGAAACACAATGAGGGTCAGCGATGAGTCACTTCTGACGCAATGAGAGTCGGGGAGAGAGAGGACGAGCTCGAAGCGTCCCCGTAAAGCTCCGGCTCTGCACCAGCAGGCTCGACAGCTTCCACTGCTCAGGAAACACGGCCAACATGACTTCTCACTGCTGCTGCTCAACACCCAGTTCCAGCTGTCTGTCAGGTTTCTCCACTGTCAGGTTGTTCTTTGCTCCATTTCGACACTGTACTCTTCGGGGCAGGCAGTCACCAAAGGAACAGGTCTTCCAGGTGCCCTTTCACATTTTCAGCAGGTGATGAAGCCAAAGACTGAAGCGTCTTCCTGGCCATAGGGCCAAGCAGACCACCTCATTCAAAGGCAATGACATGCAAGGACACATTCCCTTGGTGGCTCCCTCTCATCATCCCCTGGATCGCACATTACAGAAACATGGAGCAGAGCTGCTAGAGGACCACAGGGAGACCAAGAGGGCAGAGCTGAGGGAGAAGCCGTGGAGACAACGTTTGAGGCCAAAGCCAGGCTGTGCTTGAGGGAGTCCGGCCCAGGGATCTGAGTTACATAAAACAGAATAGGTGTTCTCTCTCACTTCCTCTAGTTTAGACAGCGTTTTCTGTTCCTTACTAAAAGGGCCCTCACCGCTCACTGGCCTGCATTTCTTATGGTGGCCAGTCAGTCCTGGTGAGTTAACCAACCACTGAGCCACATGGCAGCGGGCGGCCGCACCAAGGCCCGGGGCCTCCTGTGTCAATCCTGCAGCGGCCGGGGCTCCAAGCTGCAAGAGTGGAACAGGATCATCAAAGGTTCAGGAGCTCACAAACAAGTTCACCTCCGAATAGATTCATCACTGCTAAACAGCTACTCTCTCAGGTTCACTAAACTCTACTAGTCAGGAAACAGCCCTCCACACTCATACACCCTAAAAACAAAACACCAAGCCTTCATCTCCTTTTCTTCAACTGACCCAGAACCCATCATCTGGTAAAATGCATCGGGAGATTTATAAAGATAAAATAAAGGTGGTCAAAATGGGATGAGAAGGTATAGAGCAAGTTTCTACCAGCATCGGCCCAGGCAGAACCCTAGGAAACCTAGGTAGTATCTCTTCCCAGCGTCATTATAACCAGATAAGCTTCTGTGTCAGCAAGAGGGGGCAGGCGGTGGTGGTGGGAGGTGTTTATCACAAGTTACTAGACTGCTGCCTTAACCCAAAAGGAAACAAGGAAGGAGTGTGCAATCCATGAGGAAGAGCATTCCCTGACCTTTGGTTTTCTGATAACAAATCCTTTAAGGGGTTAAAGCACAACAGATGTGAAGGATGTTACTTGGCCCATTAGTTGAAAGGTAAAAGGTGTAGCTTGTATGATTCCAAATAGAAGTCCACTTATAATGAATTAGGTCCCAAGGCTAGGACTCTTGGCTGGGTTTTTTTTTTATTAATCTCAGAGATTTTGGATTTCTATTCATTCACTGCTGCACCTTTCTCCCCGCCCACCTGCCCATCCCCCCAGTTTGCTCTTCTCCTTGAAAAGCAAAAGGAAAACTCCTTCATTGGTACACAATCCCCCCGCATCCCCCCCTCCCACCCCAAGTATACTCTGCTCTGCAACCCTCATTCTGCTCTCTTATGAATAATCATAATACCCTAAACTATATTACTTTTTATACTATTCTCTCCCTCATCAGCTTCAATACAGTAAACATAATTTATCAGTTTTTCTCAGTCTTACCCCCACCCTGATGTCAGCCTCATTCTACAACAGTAGCACCATATAGTATTTGTCCTTTTGTGACTGAGATATTTCATTCAGCATAATGTCCTCCAGGGTCACCCATTTTGAATAATACTGCATGAGTTCCCTGTTTTTCAGTGCAGCATAGTATTCCATTGTGTGAATATACCACAGCTTCTCTATCCATTCCTTTGTTGATGGGCACTTAGGTTGTTTCCAACTCCTTGCTATTGTGAACAAAGCTGTGATAAACATGGGTGTGTTGGCTGTTTTTTCTCATGTCTATCAGTGCTCATACCAAGGACAGTAAATAGAACAGAAAGGTTAAGAAGCAGCAGTGAGCTCAGGGTCAAGAGACCTGAGTTCTAGTCCTAGTTGACCCTGGTTAACAACTATTTAATCATAATGGGCTCCAGCTTTCTTATTCAGAAGTTGCTGATTGCCCAACTCATAATGACCCTATGAACTAGGCCTGAAGCCCCTCTACAACGATTGACATTTATCAAAGTTCATAGAAGCATGTTATTTAGGAAGTAGATGAGAGATTAAAAAACCTGTGTGTTTTACCTGGCTGGACTATGAAGATGAAAGCTAGCAGATGTCAAAAAAGGTAGGTGCACACTTCAGCTCCCAGAAAGTACTGGACTGATGATAGAACAATCTCAAGATGTGCACAGAGGTTCTCACATGCAAGCAGATCCAATGAGGAGAACACGGTCCTGTGTGCCAGGACGTTGCCTAGCACCTGCGCAGGGCATGTGGGCAGCCCAGCAGAGTCTGAGGGGGGCACACCCAGATCCAGCCGGACACAGCACTGCCAGCCACAGATCCAATTTTTCCCCAGAAAAGTGTACTTTTTACTCATTTTCCTTAGACATCAGTTATTCATTAAATGTATAACTCTGTGCCTTTGTCCAGCTGTCACATACATGAGCTCACCCATTAACAATGGGCCGCCTTCCCTGTACTTGCTGAACCCTGGTTCCCTCAGCTCATCTCCACCCCACCCCTGTGCTCTCCTCAGCCGCAGGCCCAGCACCTACCCACTCCGGCTGCTCAGTTGGCCCTCCTTGTTTGTGGTCAGAGTCCACGGGTGGAGGCAGGTAATCCTTCACTGGAGTGGTGAATTCCACAGGGCCCGTTCCAGGCAGGGGAAGCTTCAGCAGCGGGTAGCTGGGAGGGACACAAAGGAGAGTAGAGTTAGGGTACTGGGGGTGGGGGGCAGTGTCTGCTCGCAGACCAGCGACACAGGGACAAAAGGCCTGGCAACAATCTCCTCACTGAAGGACAGAACATCAAGACCACCAGGTCTCCCAGCTAGAAGCATCTTCAGTCATCTCGGAGAGAATTTTCCAAACTTGTTTTAGTCATTGAAAATTTACAACAAACGTCATTTAATTCATTAAGTAGACTGGCAGAATTATTTTTAAGAATGTTAATGCTTTTTAAAAACTAGACACTTAAAAAAAATCTGTAAAACCAGTATTATTTTAAGGCCACTATAAAAAAAACACCCTAAGACACGTAAAAACTAAGAAAGGTTTCCACTTCAGAGTGCCGAACAAGAGTCTCAAACCATTTATTTCACTTTAAAGGACCAGATAAGACCTCTGACTATGACACAGTGAAAAGTGGAGGCAGATTTCTGTACAGAAGACAGAAGACCCACTATACGAGAGGAAAAAAAACACAGCCTCACGTGTCACAAGTACATCTGTTTCACTCTTTTTTAAAAAGAACTGAACTCGGTGAGCTCTGGTGGCCTACTGGCAAGAAGCTGCACTGCAATCTCAGAGGTACATGGTTCAAATCCACCAGATGCTCTGCTGGAGAAGGAGGAACAATCTCCTGTATCAGTCAGATCTGATTTGACGGTACACACACACAAAAATAATGAAATTAAAAAAAAAAAAAGAACTGAACTCTAAAGAAATATATCACCTTTAGATAGTAAAATGTAAAAATCTACAGTAGAGTGCAGTGAATTTTTCACATGTGTACACATCTGTGTAACCATTACCCAGGGTCAAGCTACAGAGAGAGCATTCTGGGAACATCAGGAGGCAGCCCTGTGCTCCTTTCCGGTCTACAGCGGAAACTCGCTCTCACAAAATCCAACTTGTATGTGACTGAAGAATGGTAGGTACACTGTTCCCAGTTGAACTGTAACGAGTTAACTTCCTGAATAACCCCCACCATTAGGAGTGTGAGAGAGAGTGTGTGTGTGTGTGTGTGTGTGTGTGTGTGTGTGTACACACACATGTGTAGGTATATGCATATGTGTGTGAATATGTGTGTGTATATATACATATAAAGCTATCATATAAATGTTTTGTACCTACATATCTTCCACAATTTGAATATATTTTTTTAAAAAATAAAGCCATTAAGGTCATTTTCATATCTATCTTTTCATGGAACGTGAGGACTCATTTCTTCATGTACCTCAGGTCAAACTCTCAGGTTATGTTGTTGTTCTTAGGTGCTGTCGAATACGACGCATAGTGACTCTATGAACAACAGATCTGAACCCTGTCCTATTCTGGGCCATCTTCATCATCACTGACACACTTGAGCCCACTGCTGCAGTCACAGTGTCAGTCCATGTGGTTGAGGGTCTTCCTCTCTTTCACGAGTTCGAGGACATACTCTCGTTTATCTCAGTTGTTGTGGTTAGGTGCTCTCAATGTAAGCACGACTCACAGGAACCCTATGAACAGATCTGAACCCTGTCCTATCCTGTGCCATCTGACACACTCAAGTCCACTGCTGCAGTCACTTGTCAACCCACCTAGCTGAGGGTCTTCTTCTCCACCTTCCCAAGCAGGATGTCCTTCTCCAAGTAGTAAACTTCTCTTTAGCAAGATGTCCGAATTAAGTAAGTGAGACAAAGCTTTCTCATCTTTGCCTCAGAGGAGCACTCTGGCTGCACTCTAAGACATATCTGTTCTTTTGGCAGTCCGTGGGATATTCAGCGCTGTCTCCAACACCACAGTTTAAAAGCTTCTTCTGTCATCGCTATTCACTGTCCAACTCTCAGATGCAAAGCCAGTGACTGAAAGCTTAAGTTTATCTTAAGAGATAATATCAGATACTTTTCTGAAATGGTTTTATCAAGTTATGCTCACACCAGCAGTGGGATGAAAGGTCCTATTTTTTTAATTATTAATTTTCATCACCCTATCTCCATACCTTTTCAACCTATAAGCAGAACAGATTATCCGGGAGGCTGGGCTCTATGAGGAGAAATGTGGGGTCAAGATTGGTGGACGATTTATCAACAACCTGCG